AGGTTTGATTGATGGAGTGATTGAGTGATTGATTAATCGATCAATTGATTGCTTGATTGATTGATTTATTGATCGGTTGATTGATTGATTGATATGTTGATTGGTTGGTTGGTTGATTGATTGATTGATTAATTGATTGATTGATTGATTGATTGATTGATTGATTGATTGATTGATTGATTGATTGATTCATTGATTGATTGATTGATTGATTGATTGATTGATTGATTGATTGATTGATTGATCATCAACCCCCTCCCCCCAAAAAAAAAAACAGGAAAAAAAAAAAGATTGATTGATTGATTGCGTGGGGCAGTGTAGTCGATGTACGGGCGGTTGGCGTACGGGTTGTTCGAATAGACAGACAAACGTTCGTACGCCCATACAGTCGGTTCCAGTCTGAACCTGCCAGGGCCCTGTGCGGGGGGATTGGGGGGGGATTGAGGGGGGATTGCTCCCTTGGAGGGGTAGCAGGGTCCCCCACTGTATTAAAAAAATAAAAATAAAAAATAGATTGACTGATTGACTGATTGACCGATTGACTGATTGATTGATTGATTGATTGATTGATTGATTGATTGATTGATTGATTGATTGATTGATTGATTGATTGGTTGATTGATTGATTGGTTTATGCGTAACAGATTGATTGATTGGTTTATTCGTAACTAATTGATTGATTGGTTTATGTGTAACTGATTGATTGATTGACTAAGTGATTGATTGATTAACTGATTCACCAAAAAAAAAACACGAGCATAAGTGCACGTCAGTGTGCAGGAGGGGGGGATGAAGTGGGAGCGGGAGAGGCAGGAGGAGCGGATCGGGGTGGCAGCACGAGTGGGGGAGGACGGGGAAGCAGGGGAGAAAGCAGGAGCAGGGGAGGCAGCAGGAGCGGGAGAGGCCGTGGAAGCGGGGCAGACAGGGGGAGTGGGGAAGCCACAGCGAGTGGGGGAGATAACGAGAGGGGGAGCGGGGAAGGAAACTTTTGGTGTGAGTTTTGCGCCCTTGAAAACCCTTTCTCACCATTTTTGTATAGTGGGCATTACTGGCGCAGACAGGGTGCAAAAATTTAAGTCATTTTGGGGCCTGCTACACTTTTGCCTAAAAAGAAATACAAGGTCTTTTTTTTTTTTTCGTTCAAAAGGTCCAGGGTGTTGTAGAGGCCAAGGACCAGACTGGCGGTGATTGCTGGCAGCGGCAGCCAATGGTTGTCCTGACAGGATAGGCCACCTACCCTACCCATCTCCACGTTAGTACTCCTAGTGCACCCCCTGTCCCTACCATCCTACCTCAGTGTGACCGACACTCAGGACCATCACCCTACCACTTCTACCAGTATCAAGGGCAACTTGGACCAGATAGCAGGGACAAGCACCAAGGCTGGGCCAACCCCCCCAGCCGGCTCATGCAATCTTCTATGGGCCCAATCCAGAGAGTCTACCCAGCAGGAGTACCTAAGCAAGGCAAGCCAGCGCCCACGGACACATCCTACCATCCTTCCCCTAACTTACCCAAGGCTAGGCGAGCGGGAGCTACTTATATCCTGTCATATACCTGATAGACCCCCCCAGCCGGTATCATGGTTGTGTGTATATGGGTGCCCAAAGGGACAAAGGCTATGTATGTTTGTATGAGCCCGTAGGCTATATGTATAAATGTTCAGGAGCCATGTTTGTGTCTGCAGGAAGGTTATGCTTTCTCTGTGTAACTGTATAGGGAGATGTGTGTGGCCGAAGGCCAGATACTTGTAGTACTAAGTAGAGGGAACGATGTGTTGGTTGAAGAGATGACAGGCCACGCTGGACAAGAACCCCCCCAAAGTCCCAAGCCAGACTCAAACCCATGATGGCATGATCTATGTCATATGATAACTCCCACGTCGGTAGGTTTTGTTTTTTGACGATGGGTTCGGAAACGCTCTTGATAGCTTTTGGTTTTCGTTACGTCTTAGTAGTGGGGTTGCGCCGGTGTGCTTATTATAGGATTTTTGTCGTTGAGTGAGATCCTACGGTAATTGGGTGGTTTCACGCAAGATGGGCAAACGAGAGTGGAGGGCAAAGTGATAGCGCGCGGATTTCAAAACATGTGAACAAGACTACTGTCTTCCCGGTAAGAAGGCGTGAGTGCGCTAACCGGACCGGCAGGCGAGGCCCTGTCGCCCTCCGGTTTACTCCTTCGTCATCATCGAGGGAGGCGAGGGGCGGTCCCATTATGGAGCCGCTGAGGCGGGTGGGAGGCGCACACTTGGATGCCCTTGGACCTTGGGATTAGCTGCGTGGACCTGCGTGGACAATAACTAGGGGTACATGTGACGCCCAACCTCACGCCCTCTGCTGTCTTCCGTTCAGAATGTTAGCTGTGCGGAAAAGAGGACCAGAAAAACAGCAAGATGCGGTGTGCCAAGGATTTTTGGAAATTGAGTGTGGGGACACAGACGGAATTGAAATCCCCCGTGTTGGTCCGACGGAGCAAGTCGAACGTTTTCGCGCGTCGCGGAATGCGCGCGCGGGGAAGGCGGGAAGAGAGGGACAAATTCGATCCAAAAAGTATTGTCGTGCCTCCCACCGGGCTACAACCCGTCGTTTAGAACAGAAAGGCTTGGGCAGGCTTCGCGTGTCCCGTTTTCGTATCAGATCTCATCGTCGTTCGCTGGTTAGTTCCGAGTCCGACGTGGATGGTCTTAGTCGCGTGGCTCTTTCCTTATGCTCGTCTTCACTCCGCACACGGTAGTGGAATCCCCTAGACTCGTAGCGCTCAAAACGCTGACATTCGGTGCACAGAGTGCGACACGAGTGGGGTTCTACTGCCGTCCACGGAATGACGATCAACTCGTTAAATGGCAACAATACCGAGTAGGGTGGGAAGTGTGTATCGATAATAACAAACCCAGCTTCTACGAAACCAGAACAGCGGTTGGCCGGAGGGAAGTAATACTGCCCGCCGATTTGTGCAACGGCTTCTCGTACGTCCCACTCGCATACACGTGTCCTTTCCTCACTGTAAGGAAAAGGTCGCGTTGGGATGGGAGATACGGGAGGCTGGCGCCCAATCGAAGGGTACTTGTCAGTCCACATGTCAATCAATCACAAAATATACTGAGACGTCATTAAGAACAAAAGCGATTCGCGCGTCCCCCAATCAATCTTTTTGACACAGATCAGCTTGATCACGCATATGGCTACGGGTCCGATCGGTTCGACACAACGTTGGTCCCTGGGCGCCTTGTTTCTCAGGGCCGCCTCGTGGCTCAGCTGCTGATGTCGTGCAACATAAGGCAGATGACATGCGCAGTGTAAACGGAGCTACAGATCTAAACACTCTTGCATTCTCGAACAAAATCCCGACGATAATCATCTAATCAACAAAAAAATCACACATTCCATACATGCATTCACTGTGGAAGGTGCGAAAATGAGACATGCACAGGAAAAAATGGATCGCATTACTCAGTACACATACATCCACCGTTCACAAGACAAGAAGACAGGGTCCTTGCGTAGGAGGATTACCCAGGAAACTAATGGAAGAGTTCCGGAAGAAGTTCTTTCACACAGAATGCCGACTCATTTCCATTCAAGAGCGGGACAATCATTCAGACGCATCATCATTCGAGAGGAGAGAGAAAGAGAGAGAGAGTCAAAATAGAAGACGACAAGGTCCGGAAAGAGAAAAGTTCGGCGTCACTGCCGCACACTGACGCCAAAGATAACAATCCGCAACAAAGGCGCATTCGCCGTTAATTCCACTATGGGCCAATCACTCACTCAACTCTAATCATCGAGCCTCATACCCGCACCGACGATCCCGACCATTGCGTGCTAACTCCCACCACTGCGATCGTCACCCCGCTGTCGTAAACTCGACACGGTTCGTCCGGATCCCACAGTCCGTCGTGGCGATCAAGCGCGCAACCGGCCAGCCTATCGTCATCCCGATAGGACTTTCCGACTCACATCAATCCACTCTGCCTAGCCACTGCTTCCCGGAAGCAGGCTTAGGAGTCGAGAACGTAAGAGAGATTTGCGAACGTGCTTGCGGGTTTTATAGTTGCGACAGGGGACATAGAAGGGGGAGAAGGCGACAGGAGAGCTGAGGTGTAAGAGGAGAAGGAGGAGGAGAAGACTTTGAGAAGAATGCTCTACTAACGCCATGCTGATCCCTCGGAACTCAAGGTTCAACCAATCAGATTCATCGCACGATAGGAAGGTCCTATCGATCCACGCACCTGATTGGCGAGCGGGAGTTATCAGGGGATCGACCGGGCGTCGTACGCCAGACATAGAGGGTGAGAACAGAAAAGGCGCGAGAGGTGGCGCAAGACGGGTCCAAGATTCAGATGATCAAGAAAGGGAAATGGGTGCGCGAAAGCAAGGCGAGAGAGAGAGAGGGAGAAGGAAAAATAGTTACGGGGAGAGAGAAAAAAGATGGAGAAGGGAAGGGAGGCGCGGGAGGGAGCGATGCGGGGGACAGAGAGGAGGAAGCTTTTGCATGCACGGCGCCGTCAACAAAAAAAAGAAAAAGGCACCGAAACAGTTACAGTTTGCTTCTATCCTAACTCAAAATTAAAATCACCATATCCGCGCGTGAAAAGCGACGCGGGAAAAGAAAATCCTACGCCTATTCGTATTTACGCAAAATTCCGAGAGTTTTCCCCGACGCGCCCAAGAACATTCACACACCCAAAAAGGACACGTCGAATTTCCGCTTATCCCGGAATTCCCAACTACCGAGCCCAGTCCCTCGTGCGCTCGCTAAGGCGGACGTAAATTCCCATGTATTTCCCGATCTTGCAAGAAGAAAAACAGAACTCAGCAGTCGAAAAAAACTCTCAAAAAGGAAAATGCGGGACCTGAAAGCAAGAACTAAAAATGGGTTTTTTCGGGGGTTGATATGATACAAGCAAAAGAAAGGGTACGAAAGATGGGACGGGGTCAGGAAGTGGTTCATCACATACACGGGAGATAAGGACACTGTGCTTAACAAGGACACAGGAGCTGGCGCGAAGGTCGCCCAAGAAGAGCCGTGTTGGTGGTGAGGCTAAAGGAGGGAGAGATGGACTCGGTGGAGGAGCTACGATATCATGCGGAGGACTGGGTTGGCATCTTGGAGGAGGGATACAAGCAGCTGCAGATGGTAGTGGAGGTTCTTGCGCGGCAGCAGCAGGAAGGGAGGGAGATCGATGGGGGGGCGATCTCGAAGGGGCGGTGGTTGGAGGATAGGGCTCAGGAGATGTTAGACATCATATGGGAGCTGGAGGAGGGGCCGGATCCCCGGCTTCATGGCTACATCGATTGGAGGCGAGCAGAGGATAGGATGCGGGCTTGCAAATCCCTCTTTCCACTGGGGTGTGACCTGCGCGATCAGATGGGGGACAGGCAGAAAAGTGGAGAGATGGGCGAGACGGGCGACAATGGTGACAAGGACGACGGATTGCAGGGAGGTTGGGAGGCCAGCGGCTGTGACAACAGCGATTACAACGACAACAACGAATACAACAACAACAACAACAACAACAACAACAACAACAACAACAACGACGACAACGACATTGACAACAATGACTACAACAAGTTCAACAACAACAACAACAACAACGACAACGACATTGACAACAATGACTACAACAAGTTCAACAACAACAACAATATCAACGGTAAAGGCGTCATTGACGACACTGACGACTATGGAAGCGGCTGGGGTTGGCAGAGAGACGCAGGTGGCCGTAGGGGAGACTAGGGTTGGCATGAGAAAAGGGTTTGCTATCTTTCCCCCCCCCTTCCCCCCCCCTTCCCCCCCCCTCGATACTAGTTGTGATGTCATCATTCCCCTCTCCAACTTTGAAATGGAACTCCTCTTGCTGGTTTGGTTGAGGATAGGGGTGGGATAGCTGTTGATGGTCGATGTTGCTCGGCCCGGCCCGAAACATCGATTAGCAATGGGGGGCAGATTGCCCCGTTGCTTTGCGGTGGGCTGGTTAGGGAATAGTTTGTAGGAGGTTCCTCCTTCTCTACGAAGGAAAGTGATCCATACTCGCTGGCTGGTTCACATGGTAATGTATATTGCGACATATTAGGGTTAACAATGCAGCAGGTTAATCCTCCTCTGGTATGGGGGAGCAATCAATGCCTCTGCATAGAAGATGGATATATTCACGAGCGATTTTGTTGGATGGCCACAACCGGTTTTTGTTGGGATGGCCACGTGGCCTATCTTCATGATTCCATTTGGAAGCTCTGTTGGTTAGATGACAAGGGAAGCTTGATTCGTGTTCCAGCATAGATACAGTGTGTGTGAATGAGCAGTTAATTCCCGCTTAGGAGGGCAATCAATGCTGCACATCACTGCGCAACAGATGAAGCACAAACACTCCAACTCTTCACAGATTATCGATTGTATAATCAAATGATTATAGGGGTGGTCTTCGCGTGTACAGAGGGAAGACGTGGGAATAAGTCAGGGGAGAGAGAGAAGGATGATGATGATGATGATGATGATGATGATGATGATGATGATGATGATGATGATGATGATGTGAGGGCACATACCTGGTATTGGCGATGGTCTGCATTGGGCGACATATTCAAGTACTTCGTGGGCTGCTGATGTCAACAGTTGCATTGTAAATAGTAGGCATACTGTAGCAATGTAGAACGTAGGCCGGGCGCCGAGCGCCAAGTAGGGAGATAGGGCCTGGACACCTATGTTGGTGGTGGCGAGAGCAAGCTCTCATTGACATTGGTTTTTAGTGGTACGATTCTTCATTGGTGTTATATTGGTGCATTTCTGCTTTCTGGACACTGTGATACTATCTGGCCTTCAATGTGATTGTGCATTCTGGACATTATCATCTCGCTATTGCTCATTTTCCTTTCAATATGGTATCAGAGTTGGTTTGAACTACGCTTCATTGCTTCTTCGCAATAGCTGTTTGGTGCTTTGCATGAGGTGTGGGGCAATAGTAAGGCTTGGGCGTTGAAGAACAAGTGGCCCAGGGCCGTGTGGGCGAGACAGAGAGCTATGTGGTGACATTAGGGGTGTACAACGTTGTACGTTGGATGATGAGAGCTCGCTGATATGACATTTGAGCCGAGGTGGAACTGCATTCTGTTGTTGGTTGTGTCGAGGCAAAAACCGGTCATCGTAAATACACATCAGGTTGTCGGTGAGAAATATGTGGTTGGGGGCAGCATTAAGAGGTACGTTGCTCTCTTCCTTATGTACCCACTTCATTACTTCTTACCGTGAGGAAGTGAGTTATGTCTTGAGAGTCCTGTCAATGTGAGCTGTCGTGAGCGCTCAACCTTGAGAGTCGACATCCTTCCTGGGCAGCAAGCTGGTGGGAGACGGGTGATGCCTCTGAAGGGCCCTGGACGAAGCACTCGGGTCACGGACACCATGCCAATGCGCTGGGACTAGTACATGCATGCTTTGCCACAAGTCCTTGGTTCTGCTGCTGCACAATAGAGGTCATGCAGGGCATGCCAGCCCTTTGAACAGACGCTCACCAGACCGTCCATAAATATTTCAGGTGGGACTCGGTGTTGACTCTGGATGTGATCGTTGTCCTGTCTGCGACTTAAATAATTCATGAAGACCTTGGGGACTGTCCTTAAACTGCCTCTTTATCAGCTAGATCAAACCAGGTGTAAGGCTCGTTGCATGCGAGGATAAATAAGGTGCAAGGGCTGGCAGGTTCGGCGTAGACTTGAGGCACAGGGATGGGCCGGATTGCACACCTTCAGACACGCTTGTCAACCAGATGCTTAGGACGTCGACACAAAGAGACTACTCAAGAGGGATACAGGGGAAGGGTTGGATTCCAGTAACTGTTCGCTTTGACACTGATTAGATGAATTGTCATCCAACATGCATAGACAATTATTTTTATTTTTGATTACTTAGTTCAAGTTGTACAACTGACAGACAGTTGCAGCCTACAGATAGGTTAGTTGACTACTTCTCTCTAGGTTGAAAGGAATTAGTTGATTGTTCATACCCGGTTGTGTGTCATGCTGAGGTAGGACTTAGTGTGGACTCTAGTTTAGATCACAAACACTGTAGCTCATGAGTGATGCAAGCGGTAGTGTGGAGGAGGAACGAGTAGTGGAACATCTTAGAGTGACTCGTAGAACTGCACTCAGTCAACCGATTACCTTCTTGGAGTTAGGCGAGGGAAAGGAAAGACGGCTGCGAAGGGAAGCCAGGGAAAGGACAATATTAGAGAGGGCTAGGACAACGGCAACCAACGTTGAACGAACACTTGCATCAGCAAGACTAGCGAACACTAGAGCTTAGGTTGAGGTTGCGATGGCTACCTCCTCTACAGTGTCAGAGGCCTTGTCCCAGGCCTCTTCGTCGGGTGTCAGTCAGGGTACCACTCAGAGTTTTGTTAGTCAATCTGTTGGCTCACAATTCAATCAGCAGACGTCACTCACACCTGAGGATTATGAGATCCTCCACGCGGAAGAACTGCATGATCAACTACAGCAGCAATTGAGAGATGCAACAGAGAGGAGACAAAGGCCTATCACTAGAAAAACTAGACTCGGAGCTAGGAGGTAGGAGACACTAGACGAGTCAACACTTGACCCTCCAATGCACGCGTTGCGTCGCTCACTGCTTTGTGTGGCAGAAACGCAGGTGGTCCAACAGGAAGTGTTGGCTGAACTAGTGGATGGCCAGAAACAAATTATGGCTCCACTGCAGGCTATGAATCCCCCGCGGTCGCGGTCGCCGCGGGCACGACCACAGACCTCGGTCTCGGCCGCGAGGCCGCGGTCCGCGGTCATGAAAAAAAAAAAAACAATCATAAAAATCTGAAAAACATATAGGTTATGCCAAACAATAAACTCAACAACTTTTGCGTTGGGGTCATATCAAAATTCGTTACCAAATTTGAGATAAAAAACAAACCAAATCCTTTATTTTTCTTCCTAAAAGAATAAAGTGGAGAACTTTTGCCTTAGAGATTTTTGTTTTTTATTTAAAAAAAAAAAAAAAAAGTCAAAAAGAAAAACTAAAATATGCGGTTGTAGAGCGCATAAAAACCTAGAACCCCCTTTTTTTTTTTTTTTTTTTGGCCTATTATCCTAGGAGTTAAAAATGTCGGGGTATTCCGACCGCACTCGGCCGCGGGCGGAATCCCGACCGCAAGCGGTAAAATGGCCCGCGGTCGCGACCGCGGGTGATACATAGACTGCAGGTGCCTCGTCCAGTGATGAGGCAGCCTCAGTAGGTTGTAGCTCCTGCTTCGGTTGAGAGTCCCTCAGTGACGCCGTAACTGATAGGGCCCTCTTTCTCTCCTATGAATGACATTCCTCTTTCAGGTAGTCAACCAGTACTCAGTGGTCAGGTTCAGATTTATTCTCCCGTACCATCGAGGACGGTGGCAGCTACAATCTCATTGTCAGGATAGCCGTAGGTTAGCGTGCAACAACCTGTCTCAGTGGCCATGCAGCAACTGCAGTAATCGCCTGGGCAGATCCAACCTATGCAGTGGATGCGCAAGATTCCTTTGCTGAGTCCTAAGCCCTTCTCTGACGACAAGAAGAAGGACGAGGACTTCGACACCCGGGTGAGGATTGTGCCCACGTATGCAAGGCAAAAACTCACAAGGCCAGAGCAACAGGTTATGGTTGGCATAGTTGCTGCTTCCTTTTTCGAGGGATCAGCAGCGTGTTGGTTAAACGAGTTAGTGCAGCAAAACGAGTATGGTTAAAATTTTGATGTTCAGGCTCAGACCCAGACATTGAAAGACTTCGTACCGACTGTGTAGAAGAGGTGGCATGACCCTCAAGGGGCTCATAAGGCCACCGACGCAATCAACAATCTTTGTGCCGAAAGGTATAAGAATCTACGCGAGGTTACAGACACTGTAGAACGTCAGATCGTAGTACCTGGTGTGCGTTGTGACCCTCATGTACTCCTCAAGGACTATTTGAGATGTCTGCCCTCAGAAGTTAAAACAAAATAGGTAGATGAGGCCTACATAGACCAATATAGATTTGCTACTTTCAGCAAGAAAGCCTTAGACATAGAGGCTAAGATGGGATTTGCGCATCAAGGCCTAGTAGACGGTAGGAAGAAGAAACTTCCCAAGGACTGGAAAAAGAAAGGTCAACTTACCTTCGTTAACCATAATGGTCAGGCGACAGAAATTGACGACTTTCCAGACTATGGGGACGAGAGAGAGCATAATGGATGGGGGAGTTGAGGCTCCTATAAAAGAAAAGGCTACGCGGACTGGGAAGAAGAAGAAAGACCGGTCTACAGGTCAGGGCGATGAAAGAACACCCACATGGGTAAAATTTGGTTTAGATAACGAGGTATGGAGGGACCGAGTTGCTAGGGGCACATGCATGAATTGTGACAACTATGGCCACACGTCAAGAACTTGTCGAGGCAAGAAGGTCACCATGAGGGTAGCCACTCCAACTGTAGTGGGCTTATTCACGAATCCTGACAGTGCTTCTGCGAGCACTTCGCAGAGAAACACCTCGGACCAGTAGGAGTGTTAGCTGCTCTTACTTGCGCTGAGGTGGTAACGTTGCCTTCCCCACTTCAGGCATTGGCCAAGGCTAGAGACCCATACATCGCCCCACACCCACATTCAGACCCACCGACGGTCTGTTTGAGAGATGTGTCTGAGTCCCCAAATGAGTTACAGACTGAGTGGTCAGGGAAGGACCCTAGAGACTCTTGGCCGATGATCAGTAGAGGTCCTAAGGGTGAACATTTCGTGGTAGAAGTCAATATAGGTGGTCACAAAGTGGGCGCCTTCGCAGAAATAGGCTCTACACATAATTTCATTGATCGTGCTTGTGTGAACAGACTGTGCTTAGCTGACAAAGTGCAGCGGCTTAGCAGAATCGTAGCTTCTACGCTAGCCAACAAACACCAAATGGTAGGTTAAAGACTATGTCAAGGACGTAGTCTATTCCTTCTCTTATGGAGGAGCGGGAAGTGAGACACAAAATCTCATTCCTCGTTAGCGACGAACTGCCCTTCGATATGTTGTTAGGCATGTACTACCTCGAGGTTGCTTAGCCGCAGTTTGATTAGGATAGAAAGGTATTGATACAGAAGTTGCCCAACGGTAGAACCGTTAGACTGCAAAAGCTCAAAGCTAGCAGTCTAG